GCAAAAGCTTTCAAACATTTTCTACCTTCCGTACAAAATCCAGGATAATGGCACTGCCAATAGTTTGCAAACAGTTTTGGTCATAATCCTGAATGTTCTTGCATTTATGGGGATTAAATCAGACTTCAAATAATACCGAAACATAACTCTGGTGGTCTAATCGCTTAATTATGTCACTTTAACAGTGATACGTTTTTATTATTTACAGAAGAGGTCATAAAACTGTTTGCAGATGTTTAACTTCTGATTATTTTAATTCTAGCAGTAAATAATGTAGCAAAATAGCTTTTAAAGATCTTCCCTGAATGTATTTTTCGTGCTTACAATATTCCCTGAGTAATGTTTTAACAATTGCTTTAAGCTGAATATCCTCTTCCATATGAACAGCCCTTAAATCACAAACCATAGTAAAATTCTGCTGAAAATTAAATAAATGGAAAATTGGTAGTTCTTAATTAACCAGTAAGAAAAGTTTATGAGATGCAGATTGAATAAATATCAAAGCTTCTGAGCTATATTATCTTTCATAAATTGGCTTTTCTCCCATTAGTGTATGCTTTCAGAAGCAGGGGAGTAAGATGAAAGGATCTGCATCAAAACTGATTACTGCTGAAACAAAATGGAAGTTGCTGCTTTTGATAAAATACAAGACTATTGCAGTGCTTGAATAATTTTATGGGAAGTTGCTGCCTAAGGCATATGTTTTACTGTCTGATACTGAATGCATGAGGAAAGACCATCTGTTTTTTTCAGCCTGGACAAATATATGATCCAGATTGAACCACTAGAGGCCAAATATAATTGCTCTGTGTTTTGCTTTGTACTACTCTCTACCTACAGCAGCATCCTCTTGTATAGCATGTATCATAGCACACAGTTCAAATGATGGCATTCGAAAATACTTTTTCCTCTACTGAAGGTTATAAAATGACTATCCAGAGCTTAATGCAGTCCTCTACACTTCATCTGTCACTGGAGAAATAGTTCATGATAGGAAAGAACAACTTCTGATACACTGTGACCACTGCAGTGTTTGAACCTTAGGGACTTATTTTTGCTGGACAAATCCTTGTTTAATGTCCAGCCAGGTGGAAGGTGTTGCTGTGTTGCATGAAGGATTCTTCGGTTCTAACTGGGGAAAAAAAAAAAAAGGTGCTTTCTTGCATGGCCCAAGTAAACAGGTTACATTATAAAAGACAGAAGTGAATCGTAACTATTGGTTTACTTTGAAGGAAAGCATGTCAGTGGCAAATAAACTACAGAGAATATTCCAGAACACTTAATCCTTTTACTTTTGTTGCTAGTGTTGTGTTTTACAGCACCTAAAAGTTTGCTTTTAGTTTTGCAAGGCTAATAGGACTGGGTTTCTGCCCTCCCCTAAATTGCTTACTCTAATTTTAGACATAATATGCTGAATGGCAGTAAAAAACAAGTGTTCAGCGTTAGAGGGAGGAGTGAGGGATAGGAGGGGCAAGATTTGAATGTGTGGGCGGAAAATGCAAACATTTTTCTTTTGTTCTTTAATAAAAATAATTCATAACAATGCTCCAGTCTTTGTAGATTTTCTGGAAAAATTGAGAACAAAAGGTTATAAAGGTGTGGAAAAATAACTTTCCAAGACTACTCTTGTGTACGGCTGTGAGGATTGCTTCTGCTTTTCATGGATGTTCTGCAGAACTATGTCTGCCAGGTGCCAATCCAAACTGCACCTGGCTTTCCTGAATATTTACCTTCGTTTTGATGAATACACTGCTTAACTGTACCAGTTCCCTCTCCTGACTCACTTTACCCATCTACTGTGAATTAACACTTTGCCCACACTGATCATATAAATCACAGTCCTGAGGAATTATGGCAGAGCAAGTGGTGGATGAGTGGAAGATGGTTTTGTGCATGCAGGACTGGGCTGGGTCTTAAAGGGTTTAGGTTTGTTCCACATATAAAGATATTCTGTGCAGCCTCAGGAAGTCCCTTACCTTTTCTGTGCCGTGGTCTCCAGCTGTGATATGGGAACAACAAGCTTTCTTTTTTTTTCCTGCTGTGCCTGTTTTCTATAATTGTACTCTAAGAGATCTCTTCCAAGTGAGAACTTGTATTGTGTGTTTGGACAAGACCCAGTATAACTGCACCTCCAATTTAGTTGGTATTACTGGAATACAACTAAACAAGAGCAATTTTTAACACCTAAACACAAATGAAGCAACAAAATATAATTTTAACTGTTACAGGGCTAAAGAAATTCAGCAAAAGGAAATTACATCCTTTTACCGTAAATTCTTAGTCACTTCTTAATTTTATTTTGCCCTCAATGCAAGCCTTAACGAGGAGAAACCACATTTATGCCTGTGCCAGTAGGATGTAATTATAGGGGGATTGTATCTGAAGACTGTAGCAGCTGAAACTACAAGTAATGTTCTGGGAGATTTTTCTTTTTTAAAAAAGTGGGGGAGGGGAAGCAAAATTGCTCATAAAATGGATTTTTGTCACTTGAATGAATTTTTTATGAAACCTTTAAGCATATATATATATATATATATATGCTGATCTTTTATCTTTCTTCATTCTGGAAGATAGACTTGGCACTGGTATGTGCCAGAGACACCCTTTACCCTCCTAGATACTGTTTTATTTACAGTTCTTGATAGAACATATATGCAAGCTCCTACCAGGTTTGATTTTCAGAGTGGTATTTCACCTCAGCAGTTAAATGATAGACTAAAAAATGTGCCCCCAATGTCTTATCACATTGCACATCAGATTTTCTAATCGAAATTCTGAAGAAATAGACTTACATTTTTCTCTGATGTACTTGATATATTACAGCAATACTGTATTGCAGCAATATGGAAATTCTGTATAAGGGAAGGAGCAAGTTTAGAACTTGAAGTGCGAGTGGCAGCAGATGCAATAATATATCAAAGCTTGTATACAGATAGAATCATAGAAGAATTTAGGTTGGAAAAGGCCTTTTCAGATCATCTAGTCCAACCTTCTGCTCAAAGCGGAGCTCACTTCAGAGTCAGACAGGGGCCTTTTCCGGACAAGATCTGAAAATCTCCAGGGACAGAGATTTCACAGCTTCACTGGGCAACTTGTTCCAGTGCTGAATCACCTTCACTGTGACTTCTTTCCTTGTAGCTAAATATAGTTTTCTTTCCTGCAAAATGTATCCTCTCTGCCTTTTTTAAAACCAGAATTAGATAGCTGAGGACAGCAGAGGTCTCATCCTCCCTTTGTCCAGGCTGGATAAACCCAACTCTGCTCACCCCCTCCTATGTGTCATGAGCTGCAGCCCCCGACCACCTTGGTGGCCTCCACTGGGCTCGCTTCAGTCTGCCCATCTGTCTCTCATGCTGGGAAGTCCCAAACTGGGCACAATACTCCAGATGTGGTCTTGCAGATGCCAAACAGTGGGAACTAATCACTTCCCTCAATCTGCTGGATGCATTCTTGCTAGTACAGTTTAGCATGTGGTTGTGTTTCATTGCCACAAGAGCACACTGCTGAGGGATGTTCAACTTGGCCACAGAAACACCCATACACACCCAAACACTTTTCTTAAAATCTGCTTTCTATGTCTTCAGAATTATTGTGTTGATTAATAGAAACATCATATTGAAGAGCATATTGCACCCTCTACATAGATCAGTAATATCTATGCTTTTTCCCTTTGTTCCTGGAAGAGAACTGAGTCCCTTTTGTATCAGGAAGGAGCCATTTGTACTTTCTTGCAGATTTATATGTGCATTAATTACAGCACCTATTACTGTTGGGTTAGAGCGTCTGCTAACAAGAGTCCCAGCAATTCAGATAAAAGCTAAAGGCCGGCCCTTTGTTTGTTGACTCTGCCCAGCAAGACTTGCAAGTGTTTTAAGAAAATTAGGAAAACATTGATACAATCAATTATTATTATTATTACTTGCAAAATCCATTGCAAGAATTTAAAACACAGAACATGCACTACTTTGCACTCATTCAGTATGCTGCCTGGCTGCTCATTAGTCAGTCCATGGTATTATGGGTGAAATGTATTTCTCTTCTGATCTGCTTCACAGATGGTTTCACCAGCACAGTGTTATTACTTTTGATGAAGCACTACAATAGGAGAGGATCTTCCTTATCATCCATAGTATTGGCCTCAGAGCATTTCGGGCTCTGAAGGCTCATGTCTGCAAACACCACACATGCAATATGCTGTAAGGATCAGACATGAGATATGCAAGAATTTCTACAGTGATACCTGCATCTTCCTTGCAAAGAGATTTAGCAGCATGTTGATGCTTTGCTTTGCATGTGTGTATTCATCAATACCATGAAACATGGAAGCTCATGCAAGCTCAGAATTGCAGTCACGTTTTCCCAATTGTAGTTGCACAACCTGTGTAACACTTTTAATTCACTCCTTTGTTTTAACTTCTTCAATGGATTGTATGATATTAAGTTTGTTCCCAGAATGGAGCCTGTTCATTTAGGGCAGTGATGCTGTAACTCAACTACTTCTTGGCTTCTGGTAGTTTGTACATGAAGTTTGTTGCTCGGAATGAAGTTGTTTCAGATGGGCAGTTAGGTGCAATATGTATCTCAGTCTTCAGTAAGCTTATACAGCAGATATTTCTTGTCAGTTGTGGGAGCAATGATTTTTCAGACTGGGTAGGGGACTCTCCCATTGGTGACCTTTCTTTAAAGCCACTAAGAATATCTGGGACGCATAAAAGTAAAGGATTGTGATATCAAAAGTAGTGTCTGTGTACACTGGGTCATTTATCAAAAAATTTTTTTCTTGTGTTTGTTTCCATTAATTCTACCAGTGCTCTTCAGAAGCCTGTGGATTTAGAAATACACTATTTAATGTCTTTAATGAACTTAGTAATGGTTGAATTCCCCTCTATTAATGAAGACTATTCACCAATAGTTCTCTACTAATGTTGGTGAAGTAGTATCAATATAGATACTGGGTCAGGGTTCTGAAAAATATTAACAATTATTAATATTCTTTCTCTTTCAGTTTTCTCCTTGTGTTTGGTTGCTTGATTTTGTCCGTGTTTTCTACTATTCCTGAACACACAAAACTTGCCTCTGGTTGTCTCTTCATTTTGGTAAGTGAAACTTCTAAATATAAGACAATTTTACAGATAATTTTATAAACACTCAAATCCTCTCCCTCACCGCAGAGAAAACAGTATAATTCCTGAATGCTTTAAGAAACTAGACTTTTCATCAGAATGATGAAAGAATAATAATTTAGAGGTTTCCACCATCTTTTTCTTTAAAAGCAGGTTAGATTATTGTATGGAATTGTTAATAAAGTACTGTATTGCATCCCCTTCTTTGCTTGAGAATTGCTGTGGTTTATAAGTGATAGTTTTTCTACTGCATTTTGTCAGGGACTGAGAATGAAAGACCTTTGATACTGCTGCTACCATTTATAAAGTCAGGATGTAGTAAGAGGCACTTATACTTAAAATAGGAAATAATTTTGGTATCTTAGATACCAATTGGTGCTAGCTATTGGTAGATACTGACATTTTAGTGGCAGTTGCTGCAGTAGGATGTGGTAGTTTCATTATTTCTTCATAATACATGCTTTTGTATTATGTTTATCTCTCCTTTTTCCCTTCTGAGGTAGATATAAATGGCTTTAATCCCTAAAAGTGCTTAACATTTTTCATGCATTGTATGGACGCCACTTTATCCATCTGCTTCTTGATGGGCCATTTAGTGCTGCCAGTGATGGCCTGAGGATAAGCGGTAGTGATCATTAAAATGTCACTATATACCCAGAGTTACCATGGTTATTTCAGTTCCATGTATACAGCAGACTGTGGCTCGTTAGGTAGTGCCTGGGGTGAAGTAACTGTTGACAAATGCCAACATTTTAATTGTCATCACTGTATATATCCAAAAGCCCTGGTCTTCAGAACAGCTCCTTAATTAATTATGGCATGAGCAGACCAATAAGCATAATTATGACATATGCTATGTCTTTACAGCACAATGTGCCACTGCATCAAGATGCCTGAACTAAACGTCCAGAGCTGGCTAGGTGCAGATGTGTGCTGTTCTGCTCCACCTGATGATTTCTTAGATGGGCTAATTAGAGAGACCTTTGCTAAATGTGGTATTTTGCTTCCAAGCCATATTAGCACTTTTTCCTTTTCTGGAGAAAAGATCATATGGCATTAAAACAGCTAAAAGTGATCAGATTTAATCCTACACTTATACCTAGTCCCATTATTTACATACCTGAACAACACTTTGCAAATGGAAGTTTGTTTGAATGTTCTGCAACTAGTTATATTATTGCAATTACTACACTAACTGCTAAGATTTTCTGGTATAAAATAGAGGAAAATTTGATTTGTCTGAAAATACCCTAATAGCAGGTGGTTTTGTGACAAGTAATCTGTTTCCCTGTACACATGCAAATTGATTGTAGAAATGCCATTTGTTCTGGCATAAAATATGTATTTCCCATGAGCCACATGTTTGTTGATTGTGTTGGTATGCTTACCGCCGCTGAGTCCTCAGCTGGCTGATAAACACATTCCCTGTGCTCTGCAGTGGCTCTCCCAGGAGCCTGAATGTGGGGAAGCTCTGTGAAGCCCTGGGCTTGGTCCCACCGCTGGGTAGAGGTGTGGTGAGCTCTGCTAGCTGATACACCAGTCCAGGCAGAGGGATCCATCAGTGGAGCGGAGCTGCTCCGGCTCTGCAGCAGGAAACTACAGCACTTTCTTCTACTGCAGCTTCAAAGGTGGACTTTGTTCGTCCTAACAGTTCTGACTGTACATCCTACGGCATCCTCTGAACACAGAAATGGCCTTAAGGAGGAAGAGGATGGATGGTTGTTCCTTGAAGCATCAGTACGAGCCCAGTCCAATATTTCTATGCTATAGCCTAGTGTGTTCAGCAAACCCTTGGCAGAAATAAATCTAGTGATGACGAATTTTACGGCTTCTGCTGTGGATCTCTAATGGAGAAGAATATAAACACAGCAGAGTATGAAGTTCCAGAAGCAGGCTAAAGCTGACTGGTTTATTCCAGTTTGCTGATGCATGATTTGCTGCTTCTCTGCATACTGAATCATTAACCGATACTGCCAATGTTATCAAAAGCAGGCTTTTGCAACCACAATACATTTCTACATTAACTCAGGAGCAGTTGTTTTGGCTGTGCCAACACATAGCTGCAGTCACTAGAGTTTTCACAACCTTTCCCTTGCAGTGATTCACACAACTCTTACAAATGTGTCATTTAATAGACAGTTGTATTAACTATCAGCAATCTGGTTTAATACTGTTTTGCTTTATGCTCGAGATGGAAGATATATGTTTACTTTCTAATGAAGTACCATACAAATACCACAATCCGTAGAGCTGCCTGCTGGATTTCTGTGAACTGTTTGCTTTGCAGATTTATTCCAGATGGTCCCCCCTACAGACATGTTAATTGGCTAAAAAGCTAGTGTAATGTTCGTTCAACTTAGAAACTGAGCTGCTGCCTGCACTGGCACCTGTGGCTTTTGACATATTGCAGCTATTCATAATTACACCAGGAGGTTAAAAAGGAAAGTGTAGATGAGGTGAGCAAACCTTTCCTTCCTTCTGAGAATGGTCAGAGGAGCTGAGATTACTGTTCTGCAATCAGTCAATTCCATTTATATCCTCCAGCCTCATTTTATAAGGGCACAGAAAACCTATCTCCTAATCACTGCATCCTAAATACTCTCTCAGAAAAATACAGTGTGCAATAGCTCAAAGTAAATCATTGTTTAGGAAAGCAGTGTTAGCTGAGGGCTTCTGAGCGTCAGCAGAGGTTAATGGACTTGTCTGGACTGCAGAAATGCCTGAACTCCGCTCCCAGAGCCGATGTAAACCTGCCCCATTCTGTCATGCTGTACCCAGCCAGGGCTTCAGTTCTGGCATCTGCACAAATACTACTGTGTTCCTAGGCATCTTCTACTTATCAGGGGGCCTGTCAAGGAAAACACATTTAATATTTGATTTTTATGCTTAAAATGAAAGTCCTACAGATAAGTGCATGTTACATACAGCAATGTTTTATTGTTACATCAGTAATTAATTTGGTTAGATTTTTGTCCAGAAACGTAAGCCTAACCATGGGGAGAGCAGCAGCTAAAACTCCTTATACCTACAATGATAATTATGCTTTAGCCTCGTCTGTGCACACAACTTCTGGCACTCAAGTTGTAGCAGTGATATATCCCAGACAGACAGTAGAATAAAATCTACTCAACATCAAAAAAACCACAAGCAGCTTAAGAATCCAACTAACACAGCAACAAAATAATCTTTGGTGTATTGCTGATCTCCTACAAGTACGTTTGCTGGCACTTTATCAAATAATAAACACAAGGGAAGTAAAACTTAGGCTGGGAAGGCAAAATCAAATCTTTTTGGGAAGATAGCCAAGAAGGAATATATCTGGAACTGGAGGTCATTCACTTTCATGACCAAACTCTCTATATTTTAAGATCATTTTCAACTAAAACTCTGTGAATAACTGTTCACTTCTGTTTGTTTCCTGTCAATTCAAAAATATAAATAAAATAATTTGAGTTGACACACAACAATTCGGAAAATCAGAAAGTTAAAAAAAAAAAAAAAAGTCTTGGATTAAATGTTTCATTTGACCTGGTCTAAAATTTAGGCCATTTAAAAACTTTTGGATTACAAGTAAAATTAAGGCTGTAGGAAAGAAATGGCATTTTTATTTGAAATGACAGCGCATTCCATTTTTTTCATAATTTTCATTTTAAACAAAGTGGAGAGATTGCAAAACTCATGTGAATTTTTGCAGGACTGCTTTTGTCAAATCTGGTTTATGTTTTTCTTTGGAAAAGGCTGAGGTATAAAGCTGTATGCAGTTCCGTGGGACAAGGGCCTCTGAAAATGTACTCTAGGAACACATTCTTCAAGCAGAAATAGCTCCCAAAGACATAAAAGCAGACAGCTTGCAGTAGATGAGGCTGGTTTCTACATGTACTGTGGTCACTTATATGAATCCAAAAGAAGAGTCTAGTAAGTGCTTCTAGCAATTAAGATCTTTCTAACATTCCTTCCTTCTCTAACATTTTCCCGTAAAAGAAACATAGAAAGAGGGTAAACACTGATTAAAAACATGGGGTATATCTGCCCCATAGCAAGCAAGCACAAACTCAGTTTGTCTCTGCTCCAGAAGAGTGAATCCATCCACAGAGATGTAATCATATAAATCTGCTACAAAATTTTAAAGCTGGGCAGAGTAGATTTTAAAAGGAGGGAGATGGATAGTGCTCAGTTCAAAAAGGTAGCATTTTCAGTTTAGATTTTTTGAATCCTCTTGCAATTCTTGGATAAAAGACCACCAGACCTGAGCAGAGGACTGGATGGATGGCTCTGTAGGGCCAGCTAACAATGCATAAAAGGAGAAACTGAATCATCTTGAGAGATTTCAATTATAGATACATGTCTAACAAAGACGGAAGGGTATAGACCATGCGTTATTGCAATTCTGTTGCAGTTTTCTCTCTCCCAAGAGAAACAGATGAACTGATCTCACAGCTTTTCAAGTGGGATTTTCAAGTTTGCTGGAGCTTATCATAACTCAGAATCAGTGTTTCTCCAGAAATACTTATTTCCAATGGTTTTTTTCATCAAAAATCAAAGCAAGGGTTTGAAATTTCAAAATTTCTGCATAGGAATCTCTGAAAAATTACGTGTGTTAGATACACAAAACTAACATTATCAAAGATGTAATAAGAGAGGGGAATGTAATGTTGATAAGGTCTCCCCCTGGTTAGGCTTATTATTTCTGGACAAAAATCTAACCAAACTAATTACTGATGTAACAGTAAAACATTGCTGTACGTTGATAAGCCTTCATGTCATCAGTCTTGCTTGGATTCATATACACTAATATTGTAATAAGGTGATAACATGAGCATAAAACAATTCAAGCATGTCATAATAAACTACCTGTTAGCTTTGAAGGAAAACAATCATAGAATCATAGAATGGTTTGGGTTGGAAAGGACCTTAAAGATCACCTAGTTCCAACCCCCTGCCATGGGCAGGGACACCTCCCACTAGCCCAGGTT